GTGATTACCTTCCTGCTCCAATTAGAGGGTTTTCTTTTGTGTATTGCCTTGTTTGTTTTTCTTTAAAGTAACCTTTTGAGTTATCTTGTATTATGTAGTTTGTTTTGCAGACAACTTCATTATGTAGGAGTTTGTAAATTAGATTTGTAATTTTAGTGTTTCTCTGTCTAGATTTTGTTTGTCTGATCTGTTCCATTGTGGCTGTGTCCAATCAAGCACAGGTGTGGTGCCAGTTGGAGATAAAAACAGTGAGCTTTTGGATGCTCAGGAGAGAGAAGTCAGAGGAAAGAGCGAATAAAAAGTCCCTTGAAGAAACTGAAACCGGGTGGCTGGTACTGATTTTCTGTTCACCTTCTGACCCTTGTGCTTAAACTACTTTACAAAGACATTCAACACATCTGGGACGTTCATGTTTCATGGTCAGAGATGACTAAAGAATGCTAAATGAAAACTCTCAAAACGTTGGGAGTGTCAATACGAGTCCTAAAGCTGGCGCTTGCTGCTTTCCTTTCCTGTCTGAGAAAACATGAAGGCCAGGTAAAGTTTTGCTAAAGAGAATCTAGGAAAAATTCTGGAATAATATATATACATATATTTATCTCACTGAGATGACAATGCAGTGTTTAAAGAATTTTAAAAATCAAATGAAATAAATACAATATCATACAATTTCCACAATGTCTTTTTGAAGAGATATCGATGGAAATATTTTTTTCTTGAATTCAGCCTCTGGTTCGAAAGAGGTTTGTAAATGCAAGCTGAAAGTAAGGAATGGGTCAAACTTTCCTCAAACTCATGTCAGTCTATAGATGGATCTAGCGATTCATTGAAGTTATTTTAACCAAAGAGGGTAAGACTTATGGTGTCTTAACTTTTCTCTCAATTAGAAAATATGTTTTTGTTGAGATCTTTATTTAATGAGTTCATGCTTATGTTCAAGCCTCCATTTTGCTGTTTCCATGTAGTCAAATCACTTTCCTTCCCAGAAACACAAAAGAGAATACACAACAAGATAAGAACGTTTCTTTGTTAATATTGAATGATATTTCCTTTTTTGACATAACTTTATATTCCCTGGAAAAATATGAATACCTCATTGTTCTCAAGTACCTTCTAAATATATTTTTTAAGGAGAAGTAGCAATTCTCAGCAGTGTGACAGTGAATTAGGGTCACAAAGAATGAAAAAAAAAAGAATTAGGTGGAAGTGTTTTGTTGCATTCATTTAAAAAAAAACATTTATAAATAATGTGAAAAATGTCAAAAAAAGCATAAAGGGAATGAAGTTACTACAACGTTACAACAAATCTAAAGGTCTGCAACGGTGATGTATTGTGTAATAGGAATATTGAATTTTGAATTAATATTCAATAACAGACATTTTTTCTGTATTAGCACATCAACATAATTTAAGTGCACAGTCTAAGTCAGCACATATGTTTTTTGATATGTTGAATCCTGTACGTAAATAGCATAGCAGTTTCATTAATTTACTGTGTGCACTTTTTTCTTTTTTTCCTCACTATTAAACTAATATTTTAGTTTTCTTCTCCTATACAGAAAGGATTAGGACGTTCTCCTTTTTAGAAACAAAAAAAAAAAAAAAAAAAAAAAAA